AGGGTTAGGTTTAGGGTTAGGTTTAGGGTTAGGTTTGGCAGAAGACGGTCTCGCAGATATCTGGGTCCTAGGCCATGTAGGGCTTTAAAGGTAATAACCAGCACCTTGAAGCACGTTCGGAGACCGATGGGGAGCCAGTGCAGCTCGCGGAGGATAGGTGTAACATGGGTGTATCTCCGTACACCCAATATTGCTTGCGTGGCTGCATTCTGGACCAATTGTAGTCTCCGAACACTTTTCAGGGGCAGCCCCATGTAGATGTAATATATGTGTAGATCCAAATAAAATTCCTGCTGAAACAAGGGTAATGGAATAACCCATAATTATTTGCAAGGTTACAAAGGGAGAAAAAAGTCTTAAACGTTGATCTAGCTTAAATGCATTCAGTCCCCAGGCTTTGCCCAAATGTCATAATCTAAAAGAGAGAGAGAGAGAGGCCACAGAAAGATTAGCAAGCTGAAAGACAAATACGAGTTGAGCTGAAGGTTTAGCATAATAAGATCCATTACAAATTCTATTCCCAAGGAAAACATTGACAATTATTTATACTTGCAATGAATGTATTGATGTAGAAACTGTATGAGTCGAATAAACAAGTTAATAAACATTGCAAAATAACTTTTGTGTACCAAGTGTGTTAGACATCAATTTCCGGAGTTTCAATGGAACACACGTCCTGAAACCAAAAAGTAGCAAATTTTTTTGATGGAGAACAAACATTAATAGCCAGGCATAAATCCTATAAATTGCATCGTTATCTGGATGATTCAACAGAGCTATTGAATAAAATATTAAATCACCTTACAGAAAACCCTACGTCACTTATTCTGTCAAGCTGAAATAGGTTTGATTATCATAAACAAATGTAAACATAATGATCTTGAATAAGCTTTTAAGAATTCAGTGCGCACCCATTGGTATCCAGCCACTAAAGGAAGGACATTCTTCCCCTGCTAAGTCAGCCAGTTGAATTATTATCATTTCTGCTTTGAAGGAGTATTTTGATTCATAAGATCAGCTGCCATTCTAGTTAGTTAAGTTAGCATGCCTTCCAGGTATGTTCACTGGGACCTGCCCAGGATATAATTTCGTTGCTTTAAAGGGTGTAACATCAGAAGGGGACTAATAGAAAAAATATAATCCATCCCAAGTGGGTGTGCCTGCTCCCAGTATGTCTTCGGATCCATGTTTGTGTCCATTAGAATCAGTGGCGGGATTCAGCCGGTTCGCACCTATTCGGGAGAACCGGTTCTTAACTTTCTAAGAGGTTCAGAGAACCGATTGTTGGAAGAAATCTCATTTTGTTTGGAAAGTTATTTTGCATTTTGTCTATTAAAGTCGGAGTTCTACATAAGGAAACTTTG